TGCGCATGCGCCGCCTCAGTCGGGGCCTGGCCGCGGGCGGAAGCGGTCGGAGGGGAAGGGGGCTCCGCCTCACGGAGGCCTCCATAGGCCTCATAGCTCCCCATAGCGCCCCATAGAGACCCATAGAGCCCCATAGAGACCCCATAGAGACCCTATGTCGGGGCCGGGGTTGAAGCGCGGCGCCCCCGAACCCGGGGGGGGCCCCCCTGAGAAGAAGCCCCCCCGGGAGGAGCAGGCCCCGACCACGCTCATTGAGCCCCTGCGGCTGGGAGGGATCTCCTCTACGGTGAGGGGATAGGGGGGATATGGGGGGGCTATGGGGGTCTATGGGGGGACTATGGGGGTCTATGGGGGGTCTATGGTGGTCTATGGGGTGGTATTGGGGTCTATGGGGGGTCTATGGGGGTCTATGGGGGGTCTATGGGGGTCTATGGGGGTCTATGGGGGTCTATGGGGGGCCATGGGGGTCTATGGGGGGTATGGGGGTCTATGGGGTGGTATTGGGGGCTATGGGGATATGGGGGTCTATGGGGGGTCTATGGGGGTCTATGGGGGGTCTATGGGGGTCTATGGGGGTATATGGATGTTATGTGGGGTCTATGGGGGGTCTTTGGGGGATGGGGGTCTTATGGGGGTCTATGGGGGTCTATGGGGGTCTATGGGGGGATATGGGGGTCTATGGGGGTCTATGGGGGGTCTATGGGGGGTCTATGGGGGTCTATGGGGGGTCTATGGGGTCTATGGGGGTCTATGGGGGGTCTATGGGGGTCTATGGGGGTCTATGGGGGTCTATGGGGGGTCTATGGGGGTCTATGGGGGTCTATGGTGTGTCTATGGGGGTCTATGGGGGGGATATGGGGGGTCTATGGGGGTCTATGGGGGTCTATGGGGGGTCTATGGGGGTCTATGGGGGTCTATGGGGGTCTATGGGGGGTCTATGGGGGTCTATGGGGTGGATGGGGTGTGATGGGGGGGTCTATGGGGGTCTATGGGGGTCTATATGGGGGGTCTATGGGGTCTATGGGGGGTCTATGGGGGTCTATGGGGGTCTATGGGGGGTCTATGGGGGTCTATGGGGGTCTATGGGGGGTTATGGGGGGCTATGGGGGTCTATGGGGGTCTATGGGGGTCTATGGGGGTCTATGGGGGTCTATGGGGAGCCGCTTCCATTGAGTGTCAATGGTGCTGGGGAGCGCGGCACGGGGTGGCCGCTAGGGGGCGCCATAGTGCTCTATGGGAGTCTATGGGGGTCTATGGAGAGCATATGGGGAAATGCATGCATTCCTATGTGTTTCTATGGGTCTCTATGGGTCTCTATGGGTCTCTATGGGTCTCTATGGGTCTCTATGGGTCTCTATGGGTCTCTATGGGTCTCTATGGGTCTCTATGGGTCTCTATGGGGTCTCTATGGGTCTCTATGGGTCTCTATGGGTCTCTATGGGTCTCTATGGTGTCTCTATGGTGTCTCTATGGGTCTCTATGGGTCTCTATGGGTCTCTATGGTGTCTCTATGGTGTCTCTATGGTGTCTCTATGGGTCTCTATGGTGTCTCTATGGGTCTCTATGGGTCTCTATGGGTCTCTATGGGTCTCTATGGTGTCTCTATGGGTCTCTATGGGTCCCTATGGGTCTCTATGGGTCTCTATGGGTCTCTATGGGTCTCTACAGGAGGAGATGGACGTGAAGGTGCTCCAGTTCCGCAACAAGCGCTTGGCCGAGCGCCTCGAGCGGCGCCAGGCGGTGGAGGACGAACTGAGGGAGCGCATTGAGCGCCTGGAGGAGCGCCAGGCCACCGACGACGCCACCCTGCTGCTGGTCAATAGGTCCTGGGCACAGGTACCTGCCCCATAGAGACCCATAGGGACCCATAGAGACCCATAGAGACCCATAGAGGCGGTGCAGGATGCACTGAGGGAGCGCATTGAGCGCCTGGAGGAGCGCCAGGCCACCGACGACGCCACCCTGCTGCTGGTCAATAGGTCCTGGGCACAGGTACCTGCCCCATAGAGACCCATAGGGACCCATAGAGACCCATAGAGACCCATAGGGACCCATAGAGCCCCATAGAGGCGGTGCAGGATGCACTGAGGGAGCGCATTGAGCGCCTGGAGGAGCGCCAGGCCACCGACGACGCCACCCTGCTGCTGGTCAATAGGTCCTGGGCACAGGTACCTGCCCCATAGAGACCCATAGGGACCCATAGAGACCCATAGGGACCCATAGAGCCCATAGAGCCCCATAGAGCCCCATAGAGGCTGCAGCATGCACATGGAGCCCATAGCCCTGAGGCCCCAGGCCCCAGACGCCACCCTGCTGCTGGTCCATAGGTCCTCACATACCTGCCCCATAGAGACCCATAGGGACCCATAGAGACCCATAGGGACCCATAGAGACCCATAGAGCCCATAGAGCCCCATAGAGGCGGTGCAGGATGCACTGAGGGAGCGCATTGAGCGCCTGGAGGAGCGCCAGGCCACCGACGGCCACCCTGCTGCTGGTCAATAGTCCTGGGCACAGGTACCTGCCCATAGAGACCCATAGGGACCCATAGAGACCCATAGGGACCCATAGAGGCGGTGCAGGATGCCTGAGGGAGCCATTACGCCTGGAGAGCGCCGGGAGACGCACTGTGGGCAATAGGTGGGCAAGGTACCTGCCCCATAGAGACCCATAGAGACCCATAGGGACCCATAGAGACCCATAGGGACCCATAGGGACCCATAGAGGCGGTGCAGGACGCACTGAGGGAGCGCATTGAGCCCTGGAGAGCGCCAGGCCACCGACGCCCCCTGCTGCTGGTCAATAGGTCCTGGCACAGGTACCTGCCCCATAGAGCCCCATAGAGACCCATAGAGACCCATAGAGACCCATAGAGACCCATAGAGGCGGTGTGAGACACTGAGAGAGCGCATTGAGCGCCTGGAGGAGCCCAGGCCACCGAGACGCCACCCTGCTGCTGGTCATAGGTCCTGGGCACAGGTACCTGCCCCATAGAGACCCATAGGGACCCATAGAGACCCATAGAGACCCCATAGAGACACATAGAGACCCATAGAGACCCATAGGGACCCATAGAGACCCCATAGAGACCCATAGGGACCCATAGAGGCGGTGCAGGATGCACTGAGGGAGCGCATTGAGCGCCTGGAGGAGCGCAGGCCACCGACGACGCCACCCTGCTGCTGGTCAATAGGTCCTGGGCACAGGTACCTGCCCCATAGAGACCCATAGGGACCCATAGAGACCCATAGGACCCAGAAGACCCATAGAGACCCATAGGGACCCATAGAGACCCCATAGGGACCCATAGAGACACATAGACATCAATGGATTCCTCTCCAGCCAATCAGAACGCAGCGAGGCAGCGTGTCCTCAGCTGACCCCGCCCCTTTGGCCCTTTAGCGCCCCCTGCTGGCCGCGCCGCAAACCCCTGCCTGCGCCCCCATAGACACCAATAGAGCCCCATAGAGCCCTATAGACACCCCATAGAGACCCATAGACACCAATAGAGCCCCATAGAGCCCTATAGACACCCCATAGAGCCCCATAGAGCCCCATAGAGCCCCATAGATTGCCACATCTACCATCATGCATTGCACAGCCGCTGGTACCCGGCCCGGGACCTCATGCTCATGTCCCACCTGCAGGACAACATCCAGCACGCCGACCCCCCCGTGCAGGTCTGACCCATAGAGACCCATAGGGACCCATAGAGACCCATAGGGACCCATAGAGACCCATAGAGACCCATAGAGACCCCATAGGGACCCATAGAGACACATAGGCATCAATGGGTTCCTCTCCAGCCAATCAGAACGCAGCGAGGCAGCGTGTCCTCAGCTGACCCCGCCCCTTTGGCCCTTTAGCGCCCCCTGCTGGCCGCGCCGCAAACCCCTGCCTGCGCCCCCATAGACACCAATAGAGCCCCATAGAGCCCTATAGACACCCCATAGAGACCCATAGACACCCATAGAGACCCATAGAGCCCTATAGACACCCCATAGAGACCCATAGACACCAATAGAGCCCCATAGAGCCCTATAGACACCCAATAGAGACCCATAGACACCAATAGAGCCTCATAGAGCCGTATAGACACCCCATAGAGACCCATAGACACCCATAGACCCCATAGAGCCCCATAGACACCCCATAGAGACCCATAGACACCCCATAGAGACCCATAGACACCAATAGAGCCCCATAGAGCCCTATAGACACCCTATAGAGACCCAGAGACACCAATAGAGCCCCATGGAACCCTATAGACACCCCATAGAGACCTGTAGACATCAATAGAACCCTATAGGGCCCCTAGTTTTGCCTGTTTCTGCCCTTTTTCACCCTATTTCCCCCCATTTTTGCCTGTTTCTGCCCATTTTTGCCCATTTCTGCCCTTTTTCACCCCATTTCCCCCCATTTTTGCCTGTTTCTGCCCATTTTTGCCCATTTCTGCCCTTTTTCACCCCATTTCCCCCCATTTTTGCCTGTTTCTGCCCATTTTTGCCCATTTCTGCCCTTTTTCACCCCATTTCCCCCCATTTTTGCCTGTTTCTGCCCATTTTTGCCCATTTCTGCCCTTTTTCACCCCATTTCCCCCCATTTTTGCCTGTTTCTGCCCATTTTTGCCCATTTCTGCCCCTTTTCACCCCATTTCTCCCCTATCTCCGCAGCTCGAGGCCGAGGTCCAGGCTCTGCTCCGGCGCTGCGAGGGGGTGGGGGGGGGCCCCCCCCCGTGCCCCTCCCCCCCCGAGCCCCGCCCCGAGGGCCCTGAGCCCCCCCCCAGCGAGGGGGAGGGGCCTGAAAGGAGGGGTGAGTGTGGGGGAGGGGCAATGGGGGTGAATGGGGGGTCAATGGGGGTAATGGGGGGCAATGGGGGGGTAATGGGGGCAATGGGAGTCAATGGGGTAATGGGGGCAGTGGGGTTCAATGGTGGTAATGGAGGTCTGTGGGGGTAATTGGGGGTAATGGGGGTCAAGGGGGGGTAATGGGGTCAATGGGGGTCAATGGGGAGTAATGGGGATCAGTTGGGTAATGGGGGTCTATGGGGTTATGGGGGTTAAGGGGAGTAATGGGGAGTCAATGGGAGTAGTGGCGGTGAATGGGGGGCAATGGGTGTCAATGGGACTCAATGGGGGTAATGGGGTGTCAATGGGGGGGTGATGGGGGTCAGTGTGGTGGTAATTGGGGGATAATGGGGTGATCAATGTAGGGGTACCGGGGGTCACTGGGAAGGTAATTGGGTAATGGGGGTCAATGGGTGGTAATGGGGTCAGTGGGGGGCAAGGGGGGCAATGGGGGTCAGTGGGTGTCAATGGGGTGCAATGGGTGTCAATGGGTCTCAATGGATGTAATGGGTCTCTATGGGTCCCTATGGGTCTCAGTGGGTCTCTATGGGTCCCTATGGGGTCCCTATGGGTCTCATGGGGTCTCTCTCCCCCCAGACCCATGGCCGGGTCCCTGCTCCTCTGCTCCGCCCCCTCCTCCTCCTCCTCCCCCTCCCCCCGCTCCCTCCGCAGCCTCCTTCCTGCTGGCGCTGAGCCGCCAAGGGGCGGGGCCAACGTCAACGGGGGCGGGGCCGACGTCAACAGCGGCGCAAGGGGCGGGGCCGACGCCGACGCAAGGGGCGGGGCCCGGAGGGGAGGGGCTTCGGGCGGCGCTGGCGCGCCTCGTGCACGCGCTGGCCCGGGTCCAGGAGCGCGCGCGCGCCGCCGGGGCCCGCCTGGCCGGAAACGGTGAGGAGGGGAATGGGGTTATTATGGGATGGAATGGGGGGGTATTATGGGATGGAATAGGGGGGTTATTATGGGGGGAATGGGGTGGGAATGGGGTTAGTATGGGATGGAATGGGGGGGAATGGGGTTATTATGGGATGGAATGGGGCTATTATGGGATGGAATAGGGGGGTTATTATGGGGGGAATGGGGGGGGTATGGGGTTATGGGGTGGAATGGGGGGAATGGGGCTATTATGGGATGGAATGGGGGGGTTATGGGGTGGAATGGGGTTATTATGGGATGGAATGGGGTTATTATGGGATAGAATGGGGTTATTATGGGGTGGGAATGGGGTTATTATGGGATGGAATGGGGGGGTATTATGGGATGGAATAGGGGGGTTATGGTGGGAATGGGGTGGGAAAGGGGTTATTATGGGATGGAGTGGGGGTTTATTATGGGATGGAATGGGGTTATTATGGGGTGAATGGGGTTATGGGATGGAGTGGGGTTATGGGATAGAATGGGGGTATTATGGGATGGAGTAGGGGGAATGGGGTTATGGGAGGAATGGGGGGAATGGGGTTATTATGGGATGGAGTGGGGGGATGGGGTTATTATGGGATGGAATGGGGTTATGGGGTGAATGGGGTTATTATGGGGAGGAATGGGGCGCCACTGGGTCCCATTGGGTTCCATTGGGCGCCATTGGGTCTCATTTGTATCCTTGGGTGCCATTGGTTTCCATTGGGTACAGTTGGGTGCCATTGGGTGTCAATCGTTCCATTGGGTGCCATTGGGTATAATGGGGTTCCATTGGTATCATTGGAACCCATTGGGTTCCATTGGGTGCCATTGGTTTCCGTTGGGTACAGTTGGGTCCCATTGGTATCATTGGGTGCTGTTGGGTGCCGTTGAGTTTCATTGGGTGCCATTGGTACAGTTGGGTCCCATTGGGTTCCATTGGGTGCCATTGAGTCCCATTGGTATCATTGGTTTCCATTGGGTCCCATTGGTATCCTGGGGTCCCGTTGAGTGCCATTGGTTTCCATTGGGTCCCATTGGCTCCCGTTGGGTCCCATTGGTATCATTGGCTCCCATTGACCCCATTGACCCCCACTGACCCCCATTGACTCCCATTGGCTGCCATTGACCCCCATTGACCCCCATTGCTTGTCCCCCCCCAGCGGAGCTACCGGAGCCGGGCCGGGCGCTGCTGCGGGAGCTGCTGCGGGAGCACCGGAGGCTGCAGGACCTGACCCTGCAGCTGCAGGAGAAACACCAGAGGGAGGGGCTGGAGGTGAGGGGTCATGGGGGGCAATGGGGGGCAATGGGGGGCAATGGGGGTCAATGGGGTAATGGGGGTCAATGGGGGTGATAAGGTCAATGGGGTAATGGGGGTGATGGGGTAATGGGGGCAATGGGGTAATGGGGGTCAATGGGGTAATGGGGGTAATGGGGTTCAATGGGGCAATGGGGTAATGGGGGCAATGGTGTAATGGGGGTCAATGGGAGTGATGGGGATCAATGGGGCAGTAGGGCTCAATTGGGCCGTGGGAGGTAATGGGGATCAATGGGGGTCAATGGGGGTGATGGGCTCAATGGGGTAATGGGGGTGATGGGGTCAGTGGGGGTGATGGGGGTAATGGAGGAGAATGGGGATCAATGGGGGTAATGGGGGCCAATAGGGGAATGGGGGTATTATGCTTATGGGTATCCCTATGAGTATCCCTATGGGTGTCCCCATGCATCCCTATGGGTATCTCTATGGTATTCCTATGGGTATCTCTATGGGTATCTCTATGGGTATCCCTATGGGTATCCCTATGGGTATCTCTATGGGTATCCCTATGGGTATCTCTATGGGCATCCCCTATGGGTCTCTGTATGGGTGTCCCTATGGGTATCCCTATGGGTCTCTCTATGGGCATCCCCTACGGGTATCTCTATGGGTATCTCTATGGGTATCCCTATGGGTATCTCTATGGGCATCCCCTATGGGTCTCTCTATGGGTGTCCCTATGGGTATCCCTATGGGTCTCTCTATGGGCATCCCCTAGGGGTATCTCTATGGGTGTCCCTATGGGTATCCCTATGGGTCTCTCTATGGGTATCCCCTATGGGTATTTCTATGGGTATCCCTATGGGTCTCTCTATGGGCATCCCCTATGGGTCTCTCTATGGGCATCCCCTATGGGTCTCTCTATGGGCATCCCCTATGGGTCTCTCTATGGGTGTCCCCTATGGGTCTCTCTATGGTATCCCTATGGGTCTCTCTATGGGCATCCGCTATGGGTCTCTCTATGGGTATCCCTATGGGTCTCTCTATGGGCATCCCCTATGGGTCTCTCTATGGGTATCCCTATGGGTCTCTCTATGGGTATCCCCTATGGGTCTCTCTATGGGTGTCCCTATGGGTCTCTCTATGGGCATCCCCTATGGCTCTCTCTATGTTATCCCTATGGGTGCCCCCAGCTGGCAGAGCTCCAGGACAAGGCCACATCGGCCGAGACGAAGGTGCTGGAGATGGGGACCACGCTGGAGGGGCTGCAGTGGGACAGCGCCAAGCTCCGCAAGCGCGAGGGCCGCCTGGACCGGCGCCTGGCCGAGGCCCTGGAGCAGGTGAGGCCTGGCCCCATAGCAGGCCCCATAGAATCCAGTGTGGCCCCATAGCAGCCATTGTGGCCCTATAGCATCCATTGCGTCACCATAGCAACCGTTGCATCACCATAGGATCCATTGCGTCACCATAGGGACCATTGTGTTGCTATAGCAGCCATTGCGTCACCATAGCAACCATTGTGTTGCTATAGCATCCATTGTGTCACCATAGCAACCGTTGCATCACAATAGCAGCCATTGCGTCACCATAGCGACCATTGTGTTGCTATAGCATCCATTGCATCACCATAGTATCCATTGTGTTGCTATAGCATCCATTGCGTTACCATAGCAACCATTGTGTTGCTATAGCATCCATTGCATCACCATACTATCCATTACGTCACTATAGCATCCATTGCATCACCATACTATCCATTGCGTCACTATAGCATCCATTGCGTTGCCGTAGCAACCATTGCGTCACCATGGCATCCATTGCGTCACTATAGCATCCATTGCGTCACTATAGCATCCATTGCGTCGCCATAGCAGCCATTGCATCACCATAGCAGCCATTGCGTCGCCATAGCAACCGTTGCTTCACCATAGCAACCATTGTGTTGCTATAGCATCCATTGCATCACCATATCATCCATTGCATCGCCATAGTAACCATTGCGTCACCATAGCATCCATTGCGTCACCATAGCATTGATTGCGTCACCATAGCAACCATTGCGCCACCATAGCAGCCATTGCGTCGCCATAGCAACCGTTGCATCTCCATAGCATCCATTGCGTCGCCATAGCAACCGTTGTGTTGCTATAGCATTCATTGCATCACCATAGCAGCCATTGCATCACCATAGCAACCATTGCATCACCATAGTATCCATTGCATTCCCATAGCAACCATCACGTCCCCATAGCATCCATTGTGTCCCCATAGCAACTATTGTGTCACCATAGCATCCATTCTGTTGCCATAGCAACCATTGCATTCCCCATAGCATCCATTGTGTCGCCATAGCAACCATCGTGACCCCATAACAACCATTGCATCGTTATAGCAATCATCGCGTCCCCATAGCATCCATTGCGTCCCCATAGCATCCATTGCATCCCCATAGCAACCATTGCATCCCCATAGCATCCACCACATCCCCATAGCATCCATTGCATCCCCATAGTATCCGTTGTGTTGCCATAGCAACCATTCTATTGCCATAGCATCCATTGTGTCCTTATAGCATCCCATGTTCCCATAGCATCCATTGTGTCACCATAGCAACCATTGCCCCCCATTGCCCCATTACTCCCATTGATCCCATTACTCCCGTTGCCCCCCATTGCTCCATTACCCCCATTGATCCCATTACTCCCATTGCCCCCCATTGCCCCATTACCCCCATTGATCCCATTCCCCCCCATTGACCCCCATCTCCCCATTATCCCCAGCTTACCTCTGGCTCCTATGGCTCCGCCAGCTCCGGAGGCTTCCAAGGGGGGCAAATCACCCTCAGCATGCAGAAGGTATGGGGCTCTATGGGGCAGGGGTGTGGGGGGGGTTCCTATGGGTCTATTATGGGGGGCAATGGGGGGTAATGGGGGTCAATGGGGGTCAATGGGGGGTAATGGGGGTCAATGGGGGGCAATGGGGGTCAATGGGGGTAATGGGGGTCAATGGGGGGCAATGGGGGTCAATGGGGGGTAATGGGGGTAATGGGGGTCAATGGGGGTCAATGGGGGGTAATGGGGGGTAATGGGGGTCAATGGGGGCAATGGGGGTAATGGGGGTCAATGGGGGGCAATGGGGGTAATGGGGGGCAATGGGGGGTAATGGGTGTCAATGGGGGGCAATGGGGGTCAATGCTATGGGGTGACCCCATTGTTGTGGGGCAGTTTGAGATGCTGAACGCGGAGCTGGAGGGGAACCAGGAGCTGGCCAACAGCCGCATGGCCGAGCTGGAGAAGCTGCAGCAGGAGCTGCAACAGGCAGTAAGGGGGCACGAGCGACTCAAGGTAATGGGGGGCAATGGGGGTAATGGGGGTAATGGGGGTGATGGGGGTAATGGGGGTGATGGGGGGTAATGGGGTAATGGGGGTAATGGGGGTAATGGGAGTGATGGGGTAATGGGGGGTAATGGGGGCAATGGGGGTAATGGGGTAATGGGGTAATGGGGGTGATGGGGGTGATGGGGGTAATGGGGGCAATGGGGGTCAATGGGGGTAATGGGTCAGGGCCACCAATGCCCCATCGCGACCATGGAGGCACCCAAAGGGGCCATTGAGGGCGTTGGGGATGTCTGCAGGTACACGTCACACGCATGAATACTTAGGGCACATGTGTGTTGTATGTATGTAACTTATATGTAACAGACATGACCACATATAACATGGATGTAAGACGCGTGTAGTGTGTTCTTACCGCCCATGAACACAGGTGACACATGTAACACAGATGACCCCCTATGTTCGCACGTGCCTTGTCCTTAGCACGTATGAACACACATGTAACATGTATGTAACTTACATAAATATATGTAATATGCATGTACCCTGTGCTTCACACCTGTGGATGGGGTGACACAAGGAACGCAGGTGTTTCAGGCATGTACCTTGTATTTAACACACATGACCACCCATGTAACACGCATGGCTCCCCATGTAACACATATGACCACACAAGTAACACATATGACTCCACATATACCCCATATGTAACACAAACACACGTAACATATGTAGTATGTAGTCTGTATTTAACATGCACGACAAGCCATGTAACATGTATGGCCATGCATGTAACACACATGACCGCACATGTAACATGGATGTAACACAAAGGAACACACATAACATGTATGTAACATGTAGCCCGTATTTAACACGTATGACCACCCATGTAACACACATGACCACCCATGTGACCTGCATGAACACATATGTAACATGTATGTATCACACATGACCACCCATGTAACCTGCATGAAGACATATGTAGCATGTATGTAACGCACATGACCACCCATGTAACCTGCATGAAGACATATGTAGCGTGTATGTAACACATATGACCACCCATGTAACATGTACGACCACCCATGTAACATGTATGTAGCACCCATGTAACACACATGACCCCCATGTACCCCGCATGACCACCTATGTACCATGTATGTAGCACCCATGTAACACACATGACCACCTATGAACCATGTATGTAGCACCCATGTAACTGGCATGACCACCCATGTAACACCCATGACCACCCATGTAACACGCATGGCCACCCATGTAACACGTATGTAGCACCCATGTAACACACATGACCACTCACGTAACACCCATGACCACCCATGTAACCCGCATGAACACCCATGTAACAGGTATGTAACCCGTATGTAACATGTATGTAGCACCCACGTAACATGCATGGCCACCCATGTAACACACATGACCACCCATGTAACATGTATGTAGCACCCATGACTACCCATGTAACACGCATGACCGCCCATGTAACGCGCATGACCACCCATGTAACACATATGTAGCGCACATGTAACACACATGACCACCCATGTAACACGCATGACCACCCATGTACCATGTATGTACCACCCATGACCACCTATGTAACACGTATGTAGCACCCATGTAACACACATGACCACCCATGTGACATGTATGTATCACCCATGTAACCCGCATGACCACCCATGTAACCTGTATGTAGCACCCATATAACACGTATGTATTGCCCATGTAACATGTATGACCACCCCTGTAACACCCATGACCACCCCTGTAACACACATGACCACCGATGTAACACCCATGACCACCCATGTAACACGTATGTAGCACCCACGTAACACACGTGACCACCCATGTAACATGTATGTAGCGCCCATGTAACACCCATGACCACCCATGTAACATGTATGTAGCGCCCATGTAACACCCATGACTACCCATGTACCACGTATGTACCCCGCATGTACCGCGCGTGCCCCGCAGGTGGCGCTGCGCTCGCTGCCCGAGGAGGCGGTCAAGGACACCCTCGAGTACAAGGTGCTGCAGTCCCAGTTCTCGCTGCTCTACCACGAGAGCCTGCAGGTGAAGACCCAGCTGGACGAGGCCCGCGCCCTGCTCCTCACCACCAAGAACAGCCACCTGCGGCACATCGAGCACATGGAGGTGGGGACACTGGGGGCCACTGGGGGCCATTGGGGGTCATTGAGTCCATTGGGGTTCCATTGGGGGCCATTGGGGACCATTCATGTTCATTGGGGGTCATTGAGTCCATTGGAGTCCCATTGGGTACCATTGCTGCTCCTCACCACCAAGAACAGCCACCTGCGGCACATCGAGCACATGGAGGTGGGGACACTGGGGACCATTGACTCCATTGGGGGTCATTGAGTCCATTGGGGGCCATTGGGGACCATTGAGTCCATTGGGGTCCCATTGGGGCCATTGAGTCCATTGGGGTCCCATTGGGGCCATTGAGTCCATTGGAGGCCATTGGGGACCATTGAGTCCATTGGGGTCCCATTGGGGCCATTGAGTCCATTGGGGTCCCATTGGGGCCATTGAGTCCATTGGAGGCCATTGGGGACCATTGAGTCCATTGGGGGCCATTGGGAACCATTGAGTCCATTGGGGTCCCATTGGGGCCATTGAGTCCATTGGGGACCATTGAGGACCATTGGGTCCATTGAGTGTATTGGGGTCCATTGAGGGCCATTCGTGTCCATTGGGGGCCATTGAGTCCATTGGGGTCCCATTGGGGTCATTGAGTCCATTGGGGTCCCATTGGGGACCATTGAGTCCATTGGGGTCCCATTGGGGACCATTGAGTCCATTGGGGTCCCATTGGGTACCATTGCTGCTCCTCACCACCAAGAACAGCCACCTGCGGCACATCGAGCACATGGAGGTGGGGACACTGGGGACCATTGGGGGCCATTGGGGGCCATTGAGTCCATTGGAGTTCATTGGGACCATTGGGGGCCATTGAGTCCATTGATGCCCATTAGTGCCTATTAGGGTACCATTGCTGCCCATTGGGTACCATTGCTCCCCATTGCTGCCCATTGGGTACCATTGGGTGCCATTGGTGCCCATTGAGTCCATTGGTGCCCATTGAGTCCATTGATGCCCATTAGTGCCTATTAGAGTACCATTGCTGCCCATTGGGTACCATTGCTGCCCATTGGGTGCCATTGGCGCCCATTGAGTCCATTGGTGCCCATTGAGTCCCATTGGCTCCATTGCTCCCCATTACCCCCCCATATAACCTTTACCCATTACCCCCTATACCCCAGAGCGACGAGCTGGGGGTGCAGAAGCGCCTGCGCACCGAGGTCATCCAGCTGGAGGACACCCTGGCCCAGGTGCGCAAGGAGTACGAGATGCTGCGCATCGAGTTCGAGCAGAACCTGGCGGCCAATGAGCAGGCGGGTGAGCATCTGCCCCATAGAGACCCATAGGGACCCATAGGGACCCATAGAGACCCATAGAGACCCATAGGGACCCATAGGGGCCCATAGAGACCCAAGGAGTACGAGATGCTGCGCATCGAGTTCGAGCAGAACCTGGCGGCCAATGAGCAGGCGGGTGAGCATCTGCCCCATAGAGACCCATAGGGACCCATGGAGACCCATAGAGACCCATAGGGACCCATAGAGACCCATAGAGACCCATAGGGACCCAAGGAGTACGAGATGCTGTGCATCGAGTTCGAGCAGAACCTGGCAGCCAATGAGCAGGCGGGTGAGCATCTGCCCCATAGAGACCCATAGGGACCCATAGGGACCCATAGAGACCCATAGAGACCCATAGGGACCCATAGACCCCCCCTAACCCCATTGTCCCTATCTCCCCCCATCAGGCCCCATCAATAGGGAGATGCGCCACCTCATCAGCAGCCTCCAGAACCACAACCACCAGCTCAAGGGGGACGTCCAGCGCTACAAGAGGAAGCTGCGGGAGGTGCAGGCCGAGATCAACAAGGTGGGAGGAGACAGGGGGTGGCGTTGCCCCTTTAAGAGAATGGCGTTGCCCCTTTAAGGCAATGGGTGGCGTTGCCCCTTTAAGGGAACGGGTGGCGTTGCCCCTTTAAGGGATTGGGTGGTGTTGCCCCTTTAAGGCAATGGGTGGCGTTGCCCCTTTAAGAGAATGAGCGTTGCCCCTTTAAGGCAACGGGTGGTGTTGCCCCTTTAAGGCAATGGGTGGTGTTGCCCCTTTAAGGGAATGGGTGGTGTTGCCCCTTTAAGGGAATGGGTGGCGTTGCCCCTTTAAGGGAATGGGTGGTGTTGCCCCTTTAAGGCAGTGGGTGGCGTTGCCCCTGTAAGAGACTGGGTGGCGTTGCCCCTGTAAGAGACTGGGTGGCGTTGCCCCTGTAAGAGACTGGGTGGCGTTGCCCCTTTAAGGCAATGGGTAGCGTTGCCCCTTTAAGGGAATGGGTGGCGTTGCCCTTTTAAGGCAATGGGCGGTGTTGCCCCTTTAAGAGAATAGGTGGCGTTGCCCCTTTAAGGCATTGGGTGGTGTTGCCCCTTTAACGGAATGAGCTATGGGTTCATTGGTGGGGCCCACCCCTCAAGACATCAATGCATGATGTCTTAAAGGGGCCATTAATGGTTCTTTTCCATTAGGCTCTATAGGCCCTGTAAGTGGAAACTATGGGTATGGACTATAGCAAGAGTTTATTGGGGTTTATTGGGGACTATCATGACAGTTTATCATGATTGGGGACTATCAGAAGAGTTTATTGGGGACTATCGCGATAGCTCGTCACACTTTATCGCGATAGCTCGTCACACTTTATCGCGATTGGGGACTATAGCAAGAGTATATTGGAGTTTAGCAGGGTTTATTGGGGACGATCGTGGTAGTTTATCATGATTGGGGACTATCAGAAGAGTTTATTGGGGACTATCGCGATAGCTCGTCACAGCTTATTGCGATAGCTCGTCACAGTTTATCGCGATTGGGGACTATAGCAAGAGTATATTGGAATTTAGCAGGGTTTATTGACTATCAGAAGAGTTTATTGGGGACTATCGCGATAGCTCGTCACAGCTTATCGCGATAGCTCGTCACAGTTTATTGCGATTGGGGACAATAGCAAGAGTATATTGGAGTTTAGCAGGGTTTATTGACTATCAGAAGAGTTTGTTGGGGACTATCGCGATAGCTCGTCACAGTTTATCGCGATAGCTCGTCACAGTTTATTGCGATTGGGGACTATAGCAAGAGTATATTGGAGTTTAGCAGGGTTTATTGACTATCAGAAGAGTTTGTCGGGGACTATCGCGATAGCTCGTCACAGTTTATCGCGATAGCTCGTCACAGTTTATCGCGATTGGGGACTATAACAAGAGTATATTGGAGTTTAACAGGGTTTATTGACTATCAGAAGAGTTTATTGGGGACTATCGCGATAGCTCGTCACAGCTTATCGCGATAGCTCGTCACAGTTTATCGCGATTGGGGACTATAGCAAGAGTATATTGGAGTTTAGCAGGGTTTATTGACTATCAGAAGAGTTTATTGGGGACTATCGCGATAGCTCGTCACAGTTTATTGCGATTGGGGACTATAGCAAGAGTATATTGGAGTTTAGCAGGGTTTATTGACTATCAGAAGAGTTTGTTGGGGACTATCGCGATAGCTCGTCACAGTTTATCGCGATAGCTCATCACAGTTTATCGCGATTGGGGACTATAGCAAGAGTATATTGGAGTTTAGCAGGGTTTATTGACTATCAGAAGAGTTTATTGGGGACTATCGCGATAGCTCGTCACAGCTTATCGCGATTGGGGACTATAGCAAGAGTATATTGGAGTTTAGCAGGGTTTATTGACTATCAGAAGAGTTTATTGGGGACTATCGCGATAGCTCGTCACAGCTTATCGCGATAGCTCGTCACAGTTTATTGCGATTGGGGACTATAGCAAGGTATATTTGGAGTTAGCATTTATTCTATCAGAAGAGTTTGTTGGGGACTATCGCGATAGCTCGTCACAGTTTATCGCGATAGCTCGTCACAGTTTATTGCGATTGGGGACTATAGCAAGAGTATATTGGAGTTTAGCAGGGTTTATTGACTATCAGAAGAGTTTATTGGGGACTATCGCGATAGCTCGTCACAGTTTATCGCGATAGCTCGTCACAGTTTATCGCGATTGGGGACTATAGCAAGAGTATATTGGAGTTTAGCAGGGTTTATTGACTATCAGAAGAGTTTATTGGGGACTATCGCGATAGCTCGTCACAGCTTATCGCGATAGCTCGTCACAGTTTATCGCGATTGGGGACTATAGCAAGAGTATATTGGAGTTTAGCAGGGTTTATTGACTATCAGAAGAGTTTATTGGGGACTATCGCGATAGCTCGTCACAGTTTATTGCGATTGGGGACTATAGCAAGAGTATATTGGAGTTTAGCAGGGTTTATTGACTATCAGAAGAGTTTATCGGGGACTATCGCGATAGCTCGTCACAGTTTATCGCGATAGCTCGTCACAGTTTATCGCGATTGGGGACTATAGCAAGAGTATATTGGAGTTTAGCAGGGTTTATTGACTATCAGAAGAGTTTATTGGGGACTATCGCGATAGCTCGTCACAGCTTATCGCGATAGCTCGTCACAGTTTATCGCGATTGGGGACTATAGCAAGAGTATATTGGAGTTTAGCAGGGTTTATTGACTATCAGAAGAGTTTATTGGGGACTATCGCGATAGCTCGTCACAGCTTATCGCGATAGCTCGTCACAGTTTATTGCGATTGGGGACAATAGCAAGAGTATATTGGAGTTTAGCAGGGTTTATTGACTATCAGAAGAGTTTATTGGGGACTATCGCGATAGCTCGTCACGGCTTATCGCGATAGCTCGTCACAGTTTATTGCGATTGGGGACTATAGCAAGAGTATGTTGGAGTTTAGCAGGGTTTATTGACTATCAGAAGAGTTTATTGGGGACTATCGCGATAGCTCGTCACAGCTTATCGCGATAGCTCGTCACAGTTTATCGCGATTGGGGACTATAGCAGGAGTATATTGGAGCTTAGCAGGGTTTATTGGGGACTATAAACAACATTTTATACATACATAACAACATATTGGGGACTATCGCGATAGCTCGTCACAGTTTATCGTGATTGGGGACTATAGCAAGAGTATGTTGGAGTTTAGCAGGGTTAATTGACTATCAGAAGAGTTTATTGGGGACTATCGCGATAGCTTGTCACAGCTTATCGCGATAGCTCGTCACAGTTTATTGCGATTTGGGGACAATAGCAAGAGTATGTTGGAGTTTAGCAGGGTGTATTGACTATCAGAAGAGTTTATTGGGGACTATCGCGATAGCTCGTCACGGCTTATCGCGATAGCTCGTCACAGTTTATTGCGATTGGGGACAATAGCAAGAGTATACTGGAGTTTAGCAGGGTTTATTGACTATCAGAAGAGTTTGTTGGGGACTATCGCGATAGCTCGTCACGGCTTATCGCGATAGCTCGTCACAGTTTATTGCGATTGGGGACAGTAGCAAGAGTATGTTGGAGTTTAGCAGGGTGTATTGACTATCAGAAGAGTTTATTGGGGACTATCGCGATAGCTCGTCACGGCTTATCGCGATAGCTCGTCACAGTTTATTGCGATTGGGGACAATAGCAAGAGTATATCGGAGTTTAGCAGGGTGTATTGACTATCAGAAGAGTTTATTGGGGACTATCGCGATAGCTCGTCACAGTTTATCGCGATAGCTCGTCACAGTTTATTGCGATTGGGGACTATAGCGGGAGTATATTGGAGTTTAGCAGGGTTTATTGACTATCAGAAGAGTTTATTGGGGACTATCGCGATAGCTCTTCACAGCTTATCGCGATAGCTCGTCACAGTTTATCGCGATTGGGGACTACAGCAGGAGTATATTGGAGCTTAGCAGGGTTTATTGGGGACTATAAACAACATTTTATACATACATAACAACATATTGGGGACTATCGCGATAGCTCGTCACAGTTTATCGCGATTGGGGACTATAGCAAGAGAAGAGTATATTGGAGTTTAGCAGGGTTTATTGGGGAGTATCGTGATAGTTTATCACAGTTTATCATGATTGGGGACTATCAGACGAGTTTATTGGGGACTATCGCGATAGCTCGTCACAGTTTATCGCGATAGCTCGTCACAGCTTATCGCGATAGCTCGTCACAGTTTATTGCGATTTGGGGACTATAGCAAGAGTATGTTGGAGTTTAGCAGGGTGTATTGAGTATCAGAAGAGTTTATTGGGGACTATGGCGATAGCTCGTCACGGCTTATCGCAATAGCTCGTCACAGTTTATTGCTATTGGGGACTATAGCAAGAGTATGTTGGAGTTTAGCAGGGTTTATTGACTATCAGAAGAGTTTGTTGGGGACTATCGCGATAGCTCGTCACAGTTTATCACGATAGCTCGTCACAGTTTATCGCGATTGGGGACTATAGCAACAGTATATTGGAGTTTAGCAGGGTTTATTGAGTATCAGAAGAGTTTATTGGGGACTATCGCGATAGCTCGTCACAGTTTATTGCGATTGGGGACTATAGCAAGAGTATACTGGAGTTTAGCAGGGTTTATTGACTATCAGAAGAGTTTGTTGGGGACTATCGCGATAGCTCGTCACAGTTTATCGCGATTGGGGACTATAGCAGGAGTATATTGGAGTTTAGCAGGGTTTATTGACTATCAGAAGAGTTTACTGGGGACTATCGCGATAGCTCGTCACAGTTTATCACGATAGCTCGTCACAGTTTATCGCGATTGGGGACTATAGCAAGAGTATATTGGAGTTCAGCAGGGTTTATTGACTATCAGAAGAGTTTGTTGGGGACTATCGCGATAGGTCGTCACAGTTTATCGCGATTGGGGACTATAGCAAGAGTATATTGGAGTTCAGCAGGGTTTATTGACTATCAGAAGAGTTTATTGGGGACTATCGCGATAGCTCGTCACAGTTTATCGCGATAGCTCGTCACAGTTTATCGCGATTGGGGACTATAGCAAGAGTATATTGGAGTTTAGCAGGGTTTATTGACTATCAGAAGAGTTTGTTGGGGACTATCGCGATAGCTCGTCACAGTTTATCGCGATAGCTCGTCACAGTTTATCGCGATTGGGGACTATAGCAAGAGTATGTTGGAGTTTAGCGGGGTTTATTAACTATCAGAAGAGTTTGTTGGGGACTATCGCGATAGCTCGTCACAGTTTATCGCGATAGCTCGTCACAGTTTATCGCGATTGGGGACTATAGCAAGAGTATATTGGAGTTTAGCAGGGTTTATTGACTATCAGAAGAGTTTGTTGGGGACTATCGCGATAGCTCGTCACAGTTTATCGCGATAGCTCGTCACAGTTTATTGCGATTGGGGACTATAGCAAGAGTATGTTGGAGTTTAGCAGGGTTTATTGACTATCAGAAGAGTTTATTGGGGACTATCGCGATAGTCGTCACAGTTTATCGCGATAGCTCGTCACAGTTTATTGCGATTGGGGACTATAGCAAGAGTATATTGGAGTTTAGCAGGGTTTATTGACTATCAGAAGAGTTTATTGGGGACTATCGCGATAGCTCGTCACAGCTTATCGCGATAGCTCGTCACAGTTTATCGCGATTGGGGACTATAGCAAGAGTATATTGGAGTTTAGCAGGGTTTATTGACTATCAGAAGAGTTTATTGGGGACTATCGCGATAGCTCGTCAAAGCTTATCGCGATAGCTCGTCACAGTTTATCGCGATTGGGGACTATAGCAGGAGTATATTGGAGTTTAGCAGGGTTTATTGGGGACTATCTTGATAGTTTATTACAGTTTATCATGATTGGGGACTATCACAAGAGTTTATTGGGGACTATCGCGATAGCTCGTCACAGTTTATCGCGATAGCTCGACAGTTTATTGCGATTGGGGACTATAGCAAGAGTATGTTGGAGTTTAGCAGGGTGTATTGACTATCAGAAGAGTTTATTGGGGACTATCGCGATAGCTCGTCAAAGCTTATCGCGATAGCTCGTCACATTTTATTGCGATTGGGGACTATAGCAGGAGTATATTGGAGTTTAGCAGGGTTTATTGACGATCAGAAGAGTTTATTGGGGACTATCGCGATAGCTCGTCACAGTTTATCGCGATAGCTCGTCACAGTTTATTGCGATTGGGGACTATAGCAAGAGTATGTTGGAGTTTAGCAGGGTTTATTGACTATCAGAAGAGTTTGTTGGGGACTATCGCGATAGCTCGTCACAGTTTATCGCGATAGCTCGTCACAGTTTATCGCGATTGGGGACTATAGCGAGAGTATATTGGAGTTCAGCAGGGTTTATTGACTATCAGAAGAGTTTGTTGGGGACTATCGCGATAGCTCGTCACAGTTTATCGCGATAGCTCGTCACAGTTTATTGCGATTGGGGACTATAGCAAGAGTATGTTGGAGTTTAGCGGGGTTTATTAACTATCAGAAGAGTTTTTTGGGGACTATCGCGATAGCTCGTCACGGCTTATCGCGATAGCTCGTCACAGTTTATCGCGATTGGGGACTATAGCAAGAGTATATTGGAGTTCAGCAGGGTTTATTGACTATCAGAAGAGTTTGTTGGGGACTATCGCGATAGCTCGTCACAGTTTATCGCGATTGGGGACTATAGCAAGAGTATATTGTAGTTTAGCAGGGTTTATTGACTATCAGAAGAGTTTACTGGGGACTATCGCGATAGCTCGTCACAGTTTATCACGATAGCTCGTCACAGTTTATCGCGATTGGGGACTATAGCAAGAGTATATTGGAGTTCAGCAGGGTTTATTGACTATCAGAAGAGTTTGTTGGGGACTATCGCGATAGCTCGTCACAGTTTATCGCGATAGCTCGTCACAGTTTATCGCGATTGGGGACTATAGCAAGAGTATATTGGAGTTCAGCAGGGTTTATTGACTATCAGAAGAGTTTGTTGGGGACTATCGCGATAGCTCGTCACAGTTTATCGCGATAGCTCGTCACAGTTTATCGCGATTGGGAACTATAGCAAGAGTATGTTGGAGTTTAGCGGGGTTTATTAACTATCAGAAGAGTTTGTTGGGGACTATCGCGATAGCTCGTCACAGTTTATCGCGATAGCTCGTCACAGTTTATCGCGATTGGGGACTATAGCGAGAGTATATTGGAGTTCAGCAGGGTTTATTGACTATCAGAAGAGTTTGTTGGGGACTATCGCGATAGCTCGTCACAGTTTATCGCGATAGCTCGTCACAGTTTATGCGATTGGGGACTATAGCAAGAGTATGTTGGAGTTTAGCGGGGTTTATTAACTATCAGAAGAGTTTTTTGGGGACTATCGCGATAGCTCGTCAAAGCTTATCGCGATAGCTCGTCACAGCTTATCGCGATTGGGGACTATAGCAGGAGTATATTGGTGTTTAGCAGGGTTTATTGGGGACTATCTTGATAGTTTATTACAGTTTATCATGATTGGGGACTATCACAAGAGTTTATTGGGGACTATCGCGATAGCTCGTCACAGTTTATCGCGATAGCTCGTCACAGTTTATTGCGATTGGGGACTATAGCAAGAGTATGTTGGAGTTTAGCAGGGTTTATTGACTATCAGAAGAGTTTATTGGGGACTATCGCGATAGCTCGTCAAAGCTTATCGCGATAGCTCGTCACAGCTTATCGCGATTGGGGACTATAGCAGGAGTATATTGGTGTTTAGCAGGGTTTATTGGGGACTATCTTGATAGTTTATTACAGTTTATCATGATTGGGGACTATCACAAGAGTTTATTGGGGACTATCGCGATAGCTCGTCACAGTTTATCGCGATAGCTCGTCACAGTTTATTGCGATTGGGGACTATAGCAAGAGTATGTTGGAGTTTAGCAGGGTGTATTGACTATCAGAAGAGTTTATTGGGGACTATCGCGATAGCTCGTCAAAGCTTATCGCGATAGCTCGTCACATTTTATTGCGATTGGGGACTATAGCAGGAGTATATTGGAGTTTAGCAGGGTTTATTGACGATCAGAAGAGTTTACTGGGGACTATCGCGATAGCTCGTCAAAGCTTATCGCGATAGCTCGTCACAGTTTATCGCGATTGGGGACTATAGCAAGAGTATGTTGGAGTTTAGCAGGGTTTATTGACTATCAGAGGAGTTTATTGGGGACTATCGCGATAGCTCGTGGCAGTTTATTGCGATTGGGGACTATAGCAAGAGTTTATTGGGGTTTATTGGGGACTATCATGACAGTTTATCGTGAGTGGGGCCCACCTATAGCATCATATAGCCTCTTTAAGGTGGCTACATCTATAGTGTAGGACTATGGGTAAACTGATAAGACCCATCTATAGCAGTGTGTGTGGCCCCTTTAAGGGGGCTATGGGCCATACTGTAAGGTTATGGGTATAGTGGTGGGTCCCACCCATAAGGTTGCATAGCCCCTTTAAGGGTGTCTATGCGCGTTGTGTCCATAAAGGAGGTAGCCCCTTTAAGAGGATGTGGGGATTGACTTCCTCTGATTGGCTGTTGCCCTTTTAAGGGGCAGAGCCAAACCCTCTCTCGACCAATGGGGTTGCCTGGCCTTAAAAGGGCAATGGGCATGAATGAAGGGCTGTGGGGACAGTAACGGGTCCTTAAAAGGGCATCGTTGTGGGCGGGGCTAAAGGGAGGGAGTGCTCTGTCTCTTAAAGGGGCAACGCCATTATTCACATGCTCCTCCCTTTCTCCTTTAGCTCCGCCTCCAGGCCACCGGCGCCCCTCCCCCTTCCCCCATCGCCCCTCCCCCTCCTCCCCCGCCAACCCCTCCCCCCACCACCCCGACCCCCACCCCTTCCCAGGACGAGCCCCTCCCCCCCTCCACATCCGCACCTCCCCCCTCGGGGGCGGCTCCACCCCCTCCCCCCGCTGGCCCCGCCCCTATAAAGGAGGAAGAAGGAGGAGGGGGCGTGGTCCCCCCTCCTGGCCCCGCCCCCGCCGAGCCCAAGCGGGAGGAGGCGGCCCCGCCCCCTCGGCGGGGAGGGGAGGAGGAGGAGCTCCCGAGCCCCGCCCCCGCCACCCCTCCCCCGCCCCGCTCCAAGGAGCCCCCCCTGCCCCCTCCCCCCCCTGTTCCCATCATGCCCGGGCCCCTCCCCCCTCCCCCTCCCCCCTCCTCCTCCTCCTCCTCTTCCCAATCCAGGCCCGGAGCCTCCCGGGAGAGGCCGAGGGCGAAGGGAGGGGGAGGGGCGGGGGGAGGGGCCCCCCCCGCCCCCCCCGAGGAGGCCAAGAAGAAGGATTCGGAGCTGCTCAAACAACTGCGGGGGGAGCTCAAGTGAGTGGGGGGGTCTATGGGGCTCTATGGGTCTCTATGGGGTGTCTATAGGGCTCTATGGGGCTCTATTGGTGTCTATGGGTCTCTATGGGGTGTCTATAGGGCTCTATGGGGCTCTATTGGTGTCTGTGGGTCTCTATGGGGTGTCTATAGGGCTCTATGGGGCTCTGTTGGTGTCTATAGGTCTCTATGGGTGTCTATAGGGCTCTATGGGGCTCTATTGGTGTCTATGGGTCTCTATGGGTGTCTATGGTGCTCTATGGGGCTCCATTGGTGTCTATGGGTCTCTATGGGGTGTCTATAGGGCTCTATGGGGCTCTATTGGTGTCTATGGGTCTCTATATGGTGTCTATAGGGCTCTATGGGGCTCTATTGGTCTCTATGGGTCTCTATGGGGTGTCTATAGGGCTCTATGGGGCTCTATTGGTGTCTATGGGGGCGCAGGCAGGGGTTTGCAGCGCGGCCAGCAGGGGGCGCTAAAGGGCCAAAGGGGGCGGGGTCAGCTGAGGACACGCTGCCTCGCTGCGTTCTGATTGGCTGGAGAGGAACCCATTGATGTCTATGGGTCCCTATGGGTCCCTATGGGGTCCCTATGGGGTCTCTATGGGTCCCTATGGGTCTCTATGGGTCCCTATGGGGTCTCTATGGGTCTCTATGGGGCGCAGGAAGGCTCAGGAGAGCCAGAAGGAGATGAAGCTGCTCCTGGACATGTACAAGTCGGCCCCCAAGGAGCAGAGGGACAAAGTGCAGCTGATGGCGGCCGAGAGGAAGAGCAAGGCCGAGGTGGGGCCCGACACGCGTGAACACGCGTGAACACGCGTGAACACGCATGAACACACGCTAATACATGTGAGCACAGGCTAATACATGCGAGCATGCTAATACATGCAAATGCACACCAATAGGTGTGAATGCATGTGAACATGTTAATACACGTGAGCACACATGAATACATGTGAACGCGTGCTAATACAGGTGAAGACATGGGGATATGTTCTAGTACATGTGAATACATGTGGGGGTATGCTGTTACATATGAATACATGTGGGCACACTAATACATGTGAACACATGTTAATATGGGGGAATACATGTGAACGTATGCTAATGCGTGTGAATCCATGTGGACATATGTCAATACATGTGTACATATGTTAATACATGTGAATACATTTAAATGTATGCTAATCCACGTGAATACATGTGAATATATGCTCATACATGTGAACACATATGAACATGTACTAATACACGTAATCACATGCTAATACATGTGAGTATATATGGATATGTTACCACACATGAGCACATGTGAGCACACGCTAATACATGCGAACATGCGTGAATGCATGTGAACACACACTAATACATTGGAATACATGTGAATGCATGTGATTACATATGAACATGCTATTACATGTGGGCGCACATGGATACATGTGAACACATGCTAAGACATCTGGGTAAACTTGAGTACATGTGAAGACACGCTAAGACGGGAGAACATGTGGTTAAACATGGATACATGCAAACATGAGTACATATGAACACGCTAATACATGTGAACACATGAATACACATGTATATATGCTAATACATAAGAACACGCATGAATACACGTGAACACACGCTAATACATATGAATACACGCTAACACCCATTAGAACATGTTAACACACGTTAACACACGCTAAACCACCCCAATCTCCATCAACCCACCCCTCTGGGTACCATGCTCCACCCTCCCCCCACCCAAAGCATCACCACTGTGACGTCATTGATGATGTCATTGATGGTGCCATTGATGCTGCTATTGGTGATGTCATCGATGACGTCATTGGTGGTGCCATTGATGGTGTCATTGATGATGTCATTGATGATGCTATTGATGATGTCATTGATGGTGCCATTGATGCTGCTATTGGTGATGTCATCGATGACGTCATTGATGGTCCCATTGATGGTGCCATTGATGATGCCGTTGACGATGCCATTGATGATGTCATTGATGGTGCTATTGGTGATGCCATTGATGATGCCATTGATGCTGCTATTGGTGATGTCATCGATGATGTCATTGATGGTGTCATTGATGATGTCATTGATGATGCTATTGATGATGCTATTGATGATGTCATTGATGCTGTCATTGATGGTGCCATTGATCTTGTCATCGATGATGTCATTGATGATGTCATTGATGATGCCATTGATGACGCCATTGATGACCCCATTGATGACCCCATTGATGACGCCATTGACGACGCCATTGATGACGCCATTGATGACACCATTGATGACCCCATTGATGACGCCATTGATGCTGCCATTGACGACGCCATTGACGACGCCATTGATGACGCCATTGATGACACCATCGATGACGCCATTGGCTACCTTACTGATGACGTCACCGCTGACGTCACCGCCGGTGCCCCCAGGCCGAGGAGCTGCGTGCGCGGGCGCGGGAGCTGGAGGAGCGCGAGCGGCGCGAGAGCAAGAAGCTGGCGGACGAGGAGGCCCTGAGGCGCCTGCGGGCGGGGGAGGAGCACATCGAGCTGCTGCAGCGCCGCCTGGCGGCCACCAAGCAGGTGACAGCGCCTTATATGGGCAGAGGGGGGGAGGAGCCTGCGGTGGCCAATGGGGAGCGGTTGGGGACTTGTATGGGGAAGGGATTGGAGTGGAGCGGTGTTATAGCGCCCCCTGGTGGGCACTAAGGAGGTGGCATTGCCTTATATGGGCAAGGGGGTGGAGCCTGCGGTGGCCAATGGGGAAGGGCGGAGATTGGGGTTGGCAATGGGGAGGGGAAGGGATTGGAGTGGGGCGGTGTTATAGCGCCCCCTGGTGGGCAACAAGGAGGTGGCAGCGCCTTATATGGGCAAGGGGGTGGAGCTTGTGGTGGCCAATGGGGAGGGGAAGGGGTTGGAGTGGAGCAGTGTTATAGCGCCCCCTGGTGGGCACTAAGGAGGTGGCATTGCCTTATATGGGCAAGGGGGTGGAGCTTGTAGTGGCCAATGGGGAGGGGATTGGAGTGGAGCGGTGTTATAGCGCCCCCTGGTGGACACCAAGGAGGTGGCATTGCCTTATATGGCCAAGGGGGTGGAGCTTGTGGTGGCCAATGGGGAGGGGAAGGGGGTGGAGTGGGGCGGTGTTATAGCGCCCCCTGGTGGGCACCAAGGAGGTGACAGCGCCTTATATGGGCAAAGGGGGGAGGAGCCTGCGGTGGCCAATGGGGAGGGGTTGGGGACTTGTATGGGGAAGGGAATGGAGTGGAGCGGTGTTATAGCGCCCCCTGGTGGGCAACAAGGAGGTGGCATTGCCTTATATGGGCAAGGGGGCGGAGCCTGCGGTGGCCAATGGGGAGGGGAAGGGGTTGGAGTGGAGCGGTGTTATAGCGCCCCCTGGTGGGCACTAAGGAGGTGGCAGCGCCTTATATGGACAAGGGGGTGGAGCTTGTGGTAGCCAATGGGGAGAGGAAGGGGTTGGAGTAGAGCGGTGTTATAGCGCTCCCTGGTGGGCACTAAGGAGGTGGCATTGCCTTATATGGGCAAGGGGGAGGAGCCTGCGGTGGCCAATGGGGAGGGGTTGAGGACTTGTATGGGGAAGGGGCGGAGATTGGGGTTGCCAATGGGGAGGGGAAGGGGTTGGAGTGGAGCGGTGTTATAGCGCCCCCTGGTGGACACCTATCAGGTAACAGCGCCTTATATGGGCAAAGGGGGAGGAGCCTGCGGTGGCCAATGGGGAGGGGTTGGGGACTTATATGGAGAAGGGGCGGAGCTTGAGGCAGCCGGTCCTTGATGGGTCCATGATGATGTCTCCATGACGACGTCTCCATGACAACGACTCCGCATTGAGTCACTGATGCCGCCTCTCCCTGTGATTGGCTCGCTGCGCCTGCATCCCTCTCCCCATTGGCTCCCTGTCGCCCAATGGCAGGAGGAGGAGGCGCTGCTGTCGGAGATGGACGTGACGGGCCAGGCCTTCGAGGACATGATGGGTCCATGATGGGTCCATGGCGACGCCGTCTCCATGGCGACGCCTCTCTCTCTCCCATTGGCCCGCCCTTTCCTGCATCCCTCTCCCCATTGGCTCCCTGTCGCCCAATGATGACGGGTCCATAGCGATGGGTCCATGATGGGTCCATGGCGACGCCGTCTCCATGGCGACGCCTCTCTCTCTCCCATTGGCCCGCCCTTTCCTGCATCCCTCTCCCCATTGGCTCCCTGTCGCCCAATGGCAGGAGGAGGAGGCGCTGCTGTCGGAGATGGACGTGACGGGCCAGGCCTTTGAGGACATGATGGGTCCATGATGGGTCCATGGCGACGCCGTCTCCATGGCGACGCCTCTCTCTCTCCCATTGGCCCGCCCTTTCCTGCATCCCTCTCCCCATTGGCTCCCTGTCGCCCAATGATGACGGGTCCATAGCGATGGGTCCATGATGGGTCCATGGCGACGCCGTCTCCATGGCGACGCCTCTCTCTCCCATTGGCCCGCCCTTTCCTGCATCCCTCACCCCATTGGCTCCCTGTCGCCCAATGATGACGGGTCCATAGCGATGGGTCCATGATGGGTCCATGGCGACACCGTCTCCATGGCGACGCCTCTCTCTCTCCCATTGGCCCTCCCTTTCCTGCATCCCTCTCCCCATTGGCTCCCTGTCGCCCAATGGCAGGAGGAGGAGGCGCTGCTGTCGGAGATGGACGTGACGGGCCAGGCCTTTGAGGACATGATGGGTCCATGATGGGTCCATGGCGACGCCGTCTCCATGGCGACGCCTCTCTCTCTCCCATTGGCCCGCCCTTTCCTGCATCCCTCTCCCCATTGGCTCCCTGTCGCCCAATGATGACGGGTCCATAGCGATGGGTCCATGATGGGTCCATGGCGACGCCGTCTCCATGGCAACCCCTCTCTCTCCCATTGGCCCGCCGTTTCCTGCATCCCTCTCCCCATTGGCTCCCTGTCGCCCAATGGCAGGAGGAGGAGGCGCTGCTGTCGGAGATGGACGTGACGGGCCAGGCCTTTGAGGACATGATGGGTCCATGATGGGTCCATGGCGACGCCGTCTCCATGGCGACGCCTCTCTCTCTCCCATTGGCCCGCCCTTTCCTGCATCCCTCTCCCCATTGGCTCCCTGTCTCCCAATGATGACGGGTCCATAGCGATGGGTCCATGATGGGTCCATGGCGACGCCGTCTCCATGGCGACGCCTCTCTCTCCCATTGGCCCGCCCTTTCCTGCATCCCTCTCCCCATTGGCTCCCTGTCGCCCAATGGCAGGAGGAGGAGGCGCTGCTGTCGGAGATGGACGTGACGGGCCAGGCCTTTGAGGACATGATGGGTCCATGATGGGTCCATGGCGACGCCGTCTCCATGGCGACGCCTCTCTCTCTCCCATTGGCCTGCCCTTTCCTGCATCCCTCTCCCCATTGGCTCCCTGTCGCCCAATGGCAGGAGGAGGAGGCGCTGCTGTCGGAGATGGATGTGACGGGCCAGGCCTTCGAGGACATGCAGGAGCAGAACCTGCGGCTCCTGCAGCAGCTCCGGGAGAAGGACGACGCCAACTTCAAGCTGATGTCGGAGCGCATCAAAGCCAACCAGATCCAGAAGCTGCTGCGGGAGGAGAAGGAGGAGCTGGGGGAGCAGGTGCTGGGGCTCAAGGCGCAGGTGGGTGGTATATGGGGGGGGGGGGCGTAAGTGGGGGGGGGCCCATAAGTGGGGATGGGGGGGGTATAAGTGGGGATGGGGGGGCCATAAGTGGGGATGGGGGGCCCATAAGTGGGGATGGGGGACCCATAAGTGGGGATGGAGGGGGCATAAGTGATGATGGAGGACCCATAAGTAGGGATGGAGCAACCTATAAGTGATGCTGTGGGACCTATAAGTGGGGCTGTGGGACCCATAAGTGGGGATGGGGGGGCCATAAGTGGCTGTGGGTCCCATAAGTGGGGTTGGGGGACCTATAAGTGGGGATGGGGGGGGCCGTAAGTGATGATGGAGGATCATAAGTGATGTTGTGGGACCCATAAGTGGGGATGGGGGTCCATAAGTGGCTGTGGGACCCATAAGTGGGGATGGGGGACCCATAAGTGGCCATGGGACCCGTAAGTGGGGATGGGGCCTATAAGTGGGGATGGGAGACTCATAAGTGTGGGGAGAACCTATAAGTGGGGATGGGGGACCCATAAGTAGGTCTGGCTGCCCCATAAGCGGGTCTGGTAGCCCCATAAATGGGTCTGGGTGCCCCACAAGTGGGTCTGGCTGCCCTATAAGTGCATCTGGCTGCCCCATAAGTGGGTCTGGCTGCCCTATAAGTGCATCTAGCTGCCCCATAAGTGGGTCTGGCTGCCCTATAAGTGCATCTGGCTGCCCCATAAGTGGGTCTGGCTGCCCTATAAGTGGGTCTGGCTGCCCCGTAAGTGGGTCTGGGTGCCCCATAAGTGGGTCTGGCTGCCCTATAAGTGCGTCTGGCTGCCCCATAAGTGGGTCTGGCTGCCCCGTAAGTGGGTCTGGGTGCCCCATAAGTGCTGCTCTGCCCCACAAGTGGGTCTGGGTGCCCCATAAGTGATGTTGTGCCTGCCCCATAAGTGGGTCTGGGTGCCCGATAACTGATGCTCTGCCCCATAAGCGCTGCTCTGCCCCATAAGCGCTGTCCCTGCCCCATAACTGATCCTCTGCCCCATAAGCGATGCTCTGCCCCCCAAGCGCTGCTCTGCCCCATAAGCGCTGCTCTGCCCCCCAAGTGCTGCTCTGCCCCATAAGCGGTGCTCTGCCCCATAACTGATCCTCTGCCCCATAAGCGATGCTCTGCCCCATAAGTGATGCTCTGCCCCATAAGTGATGCTGTGCTCCATAAGCGATGCTCTGCCCCACAAGCGCTGCTCTGCCCCATAACTGATCCTCTGCCCCATAAGCGCTGTCCCTGCTCCATAACTGATCCTCTGCCCCACAAGTGCTGCTCTGCCCCATAAGCGATGCTCTGCCCCATAAGTGATGCTCTGCCCCACAAGCAATGCTCTGCCCCAAAAGTTCTACTCTGCCCCACAAGTGCTGCTCTGCCCCATAAGCGCTGTCCCTGCCCCATAACTGATCCTCTGCCCCATAAGTCTTGCTCTGCCCCATAAGCGCTGTCCCTGCCCCACAGGTGGACGCGCAGCTGCTGCTGGTCCAGAAGCTGGAGGAGAAGGAGCGGGCGCTGCAGAGCAGCCTGGGCAGCGTGGAGAGGGAGCTGGCGCTGCGCTGCCAGGGCCTGGAGCTGCACAAGAGGAAGGTGGGGGGCAATGGGGGGCAATGGGAGTCAATGGGGGGCAATGGGGGGCAATGGGGGTCAATGGGAGTCAATGGGAGTCAATGGGGATGAATGGGAGTTAATGCGTGGAGAGGGAGCTGGCGCTGCGCTGCCAGGGCCTGGAGCTGCACAAGAGGAAGGTGGGGGGCAATGGGGGCAATGGGGGTCAATGGGGGTCAATGGGAGTCAATGGGAGTCAATGGGAGTCAATGGAGTCAATGGGAGTCAATGGGGTCAATGGGATCAATGGAGTCAATGGGGGTCAATGGAGTCAATGGAGTCAATGGGAGTCAATGGGGTCAATGGGAGTCAATGGGAGTCAATGGGGATGAATGGGAGTTAATGCGTGGAGAGGGAGCTGGCGCTGCGCTGCCAGGGCCTGGAGCTGCACAAGAGGAAGGTGGGGGCAATGGGGGTCAATGGGAGTCAATGGGAGTCAATGGGAGTCAATGGGAGTCAATGGAGTCAATGGGAGTCAATGGAGTCAATGGGAGTCAATGGGAGTCAATGGAGTCAATGGAGTCAATGGGAGTCAATGGGAGTCAATGGGAGTCAATGGGGTCAATGGGGGTCAATGGAGTCAATGGGAGTCAATGGGAGTCAATGGGAGTCAATGGGAGTTAATGCGTGGAGAGGGAGCTGGCGCTGCGCTGCCAGGGCCTGGAGCTGCACAAGAGGAAGGTGGGGGGCATCCGGGGCAATGGGAGTCAATGGGAGTCAATGGGGGTCAATGTGGGGCAATGGGAGTCAATGGGAGTCAATGGGGTCAATGGGAGTCAATGGGGGTCAATGGAGTCAATGGAGTCAATAGGAGTCAATGGGAGTCAATGGGAGTCAATGGGGATGAATGGGAGTCAATGGGGACGAATGGCGTGAATGGGGATGAATGGGAGTGAATGGGGATCAATGGGATGGATGGGAGTGAATGGGGGTGAAGATGAGTATCAATGGGGATGGGGATCAATGGGAGTGAATGGGGGTGGATAGGGATGAATGGGAGTGAATGGGGATGAATGGGAGTGAATGGGGATCAATGGGAGTGAATGGGGGTGGATAGGGATGAATGAGAGTGAATGGGGATGAATGGGAGTGAATGAGAGTGAATGGGGGTCGATGGGGATGGGGATGAATGGGAGTGAATGTGGATGTGAAAGGGAATGGGATGGGATGGGATGGGGATGGGGACGGGGATGGGAGTGATTGGTGATGGGTAGGAATGGGGATGAATGGGGATGGCGTGGGACTGGAGTCCCTATGGCCCCCAATGAATCCCTATGGGACCCTATGGGTCCCTATAGACCCCAATGCATCCCTATGGACCCCAATGCATCCCTATGGCCCCAATGCATCCCTATGGCCCCAAAGCATCCCTATGGCCCCAATGCATCCCTATGGACCCCAATGCATCCCTATGACCCCAACGCATCCCTATGGACCCAATGCATCCCTATGGACCCCAATGCATCCCTATGGGACCCTATGGATCCTATGGCCCAATGCATCCCTATGGCCCCAATGCATCCCTATGGACCCCAATGCATCCCTATGGACCCCAATGCATCCCTATGGACCCAATGCATCCCTATGGACCCAATGCATCCCTATGGGACCCTATGGGTTCCTATGGCCCCCAATGCATCCCTATGGACCCTATGGGTTCCTATGGACCCCAGTGCATCCCTATGACCACAATGCATCCCTATAGACCTAATGCATCCCTATGGACCCGAATGCATCCCTATGGGACCCTATGGGTTCCTATGGCCCCCAATGCATCCCTATGGACCCTATGGGTTCCTATGGACCCCAGTGCATCCCTATGACCAATGCATCCCTATAGACCTAATGCATCCCTATGGACCCGAATGCATCCCTATGGGACCCTATGGGTTCCTATGGCCCCCAATGCATCCCTATGGACCCTATGGGTTCCTATGGCCCCAATGCATCCCTATGGACCCAATGCATCCCTATGGACCCCAATGCATCCCTATGGGCCCAATGCATCCCTATGGACCCCAATGCATCCCTATGGCCCCAATGCATCCCTATGGACCCAATGGGTTCCTATAGCCCCCAATGCATCCCTATGGACCCCAATGGGTTCCTATGGCCCCCAATGCATCCCTATGGACCCTATGGGTTCCTATGGACCCCAATGCATCCCTATGACCACAATGCATCCCTATAGACCTAATGCATCCCTATGGACCCGAATGCATCCCTATGGGACCCTATGGGTTCCTATGGGCCCCAATGGATCCCTATGGCCCCCAATGCATCCCTATGGAGCCCTATGGATACCCAATGCATCCCTATGGGATACCCAATGCATCCCTATGGGGCCCCCCATGCATCCCTATGGGGACCAATGCATCCCTATGGAGCCCAATGCATCCCTATGGAGCCCAATGCATCCCTATGGCCCCAATGCATCCCTATGAACCCTATGGGTTCCTATGGACCCCAATGCATCCCTATGGGGCCCAATGCATCCCTATGGAGCCCAATGCATCCCTATGGACCCAATGCATCCCTATGGACCCAATGCATCCCTATGGAGCCCAATGGATCCCTATGGACCCCAATGCATCCCTATGGACCCAATGCATCCCTATGGACCCAATGCATCCCTATGGACCCAATGCATCCCTATGGGCCCCAATGCATCCCTATGGACCCAATGCATCCCTATGGCCCCAATGCATCCCTATGGGTCCCAATGCATCCCTATGGACCCCATGGGTTCCTATGGCCCCCAATGCATCCCTATGGCCCCAATGCATCCCTATGGACCCAATGCATCCCTATGGCCCCCAATGCATCCCTATGGACCCCAATGCATCCCTATGGACCCAATGCATCCCTATGGACCCAATGCATCCCTATGGGACCCTATGGGTTCCTATGGCCCCCAATGCATCCCTATGGACCCAATGCATCTCTATGGCCCCCTATACATCCCTATGGCCCCAATGCATCCCTATGGACCCCAATGGGTTCCTATGACCCCAATGCATCCCTATGGACCCCAATGGGTTCCTATGACCCCAATGCATCCCTATGGACCCCAATGGGTTCCTATGGCCCCCAATGCATCCCTATGGACCCAATGCATCCCTATGGCCCCCAATGGGTTCCTATGGCCCCCAATGCATCCCTATGGCCCCGCAGGCGGTGGAGGCGGCCCAGTTGGCCGAGGACCTGCGGGCGCAGGGGGAGCACGTCCAGGCCCGGCTGCGGGAGCTGCAGAGCTGCGCCCTGGAGAACAGAGCTGCCAAGGAGAAGGAGTCCTTGAGCCTCAAGAGAGCCCAGGTGGGGGCTATGGGGGGCTATGGGGGGATATGGGGGATATGGGGGTCTATGGGGGGATATGGGGGTCTATGGGGGGTCTATGGGGGGATATGGGGGTCTATGGGGGGGATATGGGGGTCTATGGGGGGGATATGGGGGTCTATGGGAGGGATATGGGGGGTCTATGGGGGGTCTATGGGGGTCTATGGGGGGTCTATGGGGGTCTATGGGGGTCTATGGGGGGTCTATGGGGGTCTATGGGGTTCTATGGGGGGTCTATGGGGGTCTATGGGGGTCTATGGGGGGTCTATGGGGGGTCTATGGGGGTCTATGGGGGTCTATGGGGGGTCTATGGGGGTCTATGGGGGTCTATGGGGGTCTATGGGGGTCTATGGGGGTCTATGGGGGGGTATGGGGGGTTATGGGGGTCTATGGGGGTCTATGGGGGGTCTATGGGGGTCTATGGGGGTCTATGGGGGTCTATGGGGAGCCGCTTCCATTGAGTGTCAATGGTGCTGGGGAGCGCGGCACGGGGTGGCCGCTAGGGGGCGCCATAGTGCTCTATGGGAGTCTATGGGGGGGAATGGGATGGCTATGGGTGTCTATGGGTCTCTATGGGTCTCTATGGGTCCCTATGGGTCTCTATGGGTCCCTATGTGTCTCTATGGGTCCCTATGGGTCTCTATGGGTCCTGCCCCCAGGAGGAGCTCTCCCGCCTGCGCCGGAAGCTGGAGAAGCAGCGCAAGGTCGAGGTTTACGCCGACGCCGACCAAATCCTGCAGGAGGAGATCAAGGAGTATCGGGTATGGGGGGGCATTGAGCCCCATTGAGACCCATTGAGCCCCATTGAGACTCATTGACCCCATTGAGCCCCATTGACTCCCATTGACCCCATTGAGCCCCATTGAGCCCCATTGAGCCCCATTGAGCCCATTGAGCCCCATTGACCCCATTGAGCCCCATTGACCCCATTGAGCCCCATTGACCCCATTGAGCCCCATTGAGCCCATTGAGTCCATTGAGCCCCATTGACCCCCATTGAGCCCCATTGACCCCATTGAGCCCCATTGACTCCATTGACCCCATTGACTCCCATTGAGCCCCATTGACCCCATTGACTCCCATTGAGCCCCATTGACCCCCATTGACCCCATTGCTCCCATTGAACCCCACTGCTCCCCCATTGACTCCGATAGATGCCAGTTGACTCCCATTGACCCCCATTGACGCCATTGACTTCCATTGACCCCCATTGCTTCCCATTGACTCCCATTGACTCCCATTGACTCCTATTGATCCCCATTGACCCCATTGACTCCATTGACTCCATTGATTCCCATTGACTCCAATTGACTCCCATTGACCCCCATTGACTCCCATTGATCCCCATTGACTCCCATTGACCCCCATTGACCCCCATTGACTCCCATTGCCCCCATTGACTCCCATTGACTCCCATTGACCCCCATTGCCTCCCATTGACCCCCATTGACCCCCATTGACTCCCATTGCCCCCATTGACTCCCATTGACTCCCATTGACCCCCATTGACTCCCATTGACCCCCATTGACCCCATTGACTCCCATTGCCCCCATTGCTCCCCATTGACTCCCATTGCCCCCCATTGACCCCCATTGACTCCCATTGCCTCCATTGACCCCCATTGCCCCCATTGACCCCCATTGCCCCCATTGACCCCCATTGACTCCCATGATGTCAACTGAGTTCCATTGAGTCCCATTGATGTTGATTGACCCCCATTGACACCCATTGACCCCCATTACCCCCATTGACCCCATTGCCCCCCATTGACCCCCATTGATCCCCATTGACTCCCATTGACCCCCATTGACCCCATTGACACCCATTGACCCCCATTGACCCCCATTGACCCCATTACCCCCATTGCCCCCATTCCCCCATTGACCCCATTGACCCCATTGACCCCCATTGACCCCATTGACCCCCATTACCCCCATTGCCCCCATTGCCCCATTGCCCCCATTGCCCCCATTACCCCATTGCCCCCATTGACCCCATTGCCCCCATTGCCCCCATTACCCCCCATTGCCCCCCATTGCCCCCATTGCCCCCATTACCCCCATCACCCCCATTACCCCCATTGCCCCCATTACCCCCATTGCCCCCATTGCCCCCATTGCCCCCATCGCCCCCATCGCCCCCATTACCCCCATTACCCCCATTACCCCCATTGCCCCCATTACCCCCATTGACTCCCATTGACACCATTGACCAACCAATGGCTCCATTGCCCCCATTGCCCCCCATTGCCCCCATTGGCCCCATTGCCCCCCATCACCCCCCATCCCCCCCAGGCCCGCCTCACGTGCCCCTGCTGCAACGCCCGCAAGAAGGACGCCGTCCTCACCAAGTGCTTCCACGTCTTCTGCTTCGAGTGCGTGCGGAGCCGCTACGAGACCCGGCAGCGGAAGTGCCCCAAGTGCAACGCGGCCTTCGGGGCCCACGACTTCCACCGCGTCTACATCAGCTGAGCCCCATAGAGACCCATAGAGACCCATAGGGACCCATAGAGACCCATAGAGACACATAGGGACCCATAGAGACCCCATAGGGACACATAGGGACACGTAGATATCAATGGGTTCCTCTCCAGCCAATCCGAACGCAGCGAGGCAGCGTGTCCTCAGCTGACCACGCCCCCTCTGGCACTTTAGCGCCCCCTGGTGGCCGCGCCGCAAACCCCTGCCTGCGCCCCCATAGACACCAATGGAGCCTCATAGAGCCCTATAGACACCCCATAGAGACCCATAGACACCAATAGAGCCCCATAGAGCCCTATAGGCACCCATAGAGACCCATAGAGACCCATAGAGACCCATAGAGACCCATTGAGACCCGGCAGCGAAGTGCCCCAGTGCAGACCAGCCTTCGGGGCCCATGACCCACCGCGCTACATCCGCTGAGCCCCATAGAGACCCATAGAGACCCATAGAGCCCCATAGACACCCATAGAGACCCATAGAGACCCATAGAGACCCATAGAGACCCATTGAGACCCGGCAGCGGAAGTGCCCCAAGTGCAACGCGGCCTTCGGGGCCCACGACTTCCACCGCGTCTACATCAGCTGAGCCCCATAGAGACCCATAGAGACCCATAGAGACCCATAGAGACCCATAGAGACCCATAGAGACCCATAGAGACCCATAGAGACCCATAGGGACCCATAGAGACCCATTGAGACCCGGAGCGGAGGGTGCCCCGTGCAACGCGGCCTTGGGGGCCCCGCTTCACCGCGTCTACATCAGCGAACCATAGAGACCCATAGAGACCCATAGAGACCCATAGAGACCCATAGGGACCCATAGAGACCCATAGAGACCCATAGAGACCCATAGAGACCCATAGAGACCCATAGAGACCCATAGAGACCCATAGAGACCCATAGAGACCCATAGAGACCCATAGAGACCCGGAGGGAAGGCCCATGAATGGGCCCACGACTTCACCGCGCATAGGAGCCCCATAGAGACCCATAGAGACCCATAGAGACCCATAGAGACCCATAGAGACCCATAGAGACCCATAGAGACCCATAGAGACCCATAGAGACCCATAGAGACCCATAGAGACCCATAGAGACCCATAGAGACCCATAGAGACCCATAGAGACCCATAGAGACCCATAGAGACCCATAGAGACCCATAGAGACCCATAGAGACCCATAGAGACCCATAGAGCCCCATAGAGACCCATAGGGACCCATAGGGACCCATAGAGACCCATTGAGACCCGGCAGCGGAAGTGCCCCAAGTGCAACGCGGCCTTCGGGGCCCACGACTTCCACCGCGTCTACATCAGCTGAGCCCCATAGAGACCCATAGAGACCCATAGAGACCCATAGAGACCCATAGAGACCCATAGAGACCCATAGAGACCCATAGAGACCCATAGAGACCCATAGAGACACATAGACATCAATGGGTTCCTCTCCAGCCAATCAGAACGCAGCCAGGCAGCGTGTCCTCAGCTGACCCCGCCCCCTTTGGCACTTTAGCGCCCCCTGCTGGCGGCGCCGGAAACACCTGCCTGCGACCCCATAGACACCAATAGAGCCCCATAGAGCCCTATAGACACCCCATAGAGACCCATAGACACCAATAGAGCCTCATAGAGTGCTATAGACACCCATAGGGACCCATAGAGACCCATAGAGACCCATAGAGACCCATAGGGACCCATAGAGACCCATAGAGACCCATAGAGACCCGGAGGGAAGCCAAGTGCACGCGCCTTCGGGGCCCACGACTTCCACCGCGACACATAGCGAGCCCCATAGAGACCCATAGAGACCCATAGGGACCCATAGAGACCCATAGAGACCCATAGAGACCCATAGAGACCCATAGAGACCCATAGAGACACCATAGAGACACCATAGAGACCCATAGAGACCCATAGAGACCCATAGAGACCCATAGAGACCCATAGAGACCCATAGAGACCCATAGAGACCCATAGAGACACCATAGAGACACCATAGAGACACCATAGAGACCCATAGGGACCCCATAGAGACCCATAGAGACCCATAGAGACCCATTGAGACCCGGCAGCGGAAGTGCCCCAAGTGCAACGCGGCCTTCGGGGCCCACGACTTCCACCGCGTCTACATCAGCTGAGCCCCATAGAGACCCATAGAGACCCATAGAGACCCATAGAGACCCCATAGGGACCCATAGAGACCCATAGGGACCCATAGAGACCCATAGAAACCCCATAGAGACCCCATAGGGACCCATAGGGACCCATAGAGACCAATGGGTTCCGTCCAGCCAATCAGAACCCAGCGAGGCAGCGTGTCCTCAGCTGACCCGCCCCCTGTGGCCCTTTAGCGCCCCCTGCTGGCCGCGCCGCAAACCCCTGCTGCGCCCCCATAGAGACCCATAGAGCCCCATAGAGCCCCATAGAGACCCCATAGAGACCCATAGAGACCCATAGAGACCCATAGGGACCCATAGAGACCCATAGAGACCCATAGGGACCCATAGAGACCCATAGAGACCCATAGAGACCCATAGAGACCCATAGAGACCCCATAGACACCCTATTGATCCCTATGGTTTTTTGTGTGCCCCACGACTTCCACTATGTCAGAATCAACTGAGCCCCACTGCGCCCTATAGACCCCCATTGATCCCTATGGCCACCCCATTGATCTCTATGGGCACACCATAGAGCCCCATTGATCCCTATGGGCACCCCATAGAGCCCCACTGATCCCTATGGGCACCCTTTAGAACCCCATTAATCTCTGTGGGTGCCCCATTGATCCCTATGGGCACCCCATTGATTCCTATGGGCACCCCATAGAGCCCCATTGATCCCTATGGGTACCCCATTGTTATCTATGGGCACACCATAGTGCCCCATTGATCCCTATGGGCACCACATTGATACCTAAGGGCACCCCATAGAGCCCCATTGATCCCTATGGGCACCCCATTGATCCCTATGGGCACCCCATTGATCTCTATGGGCACCCCATAGAGCCCCATTGATCCCTATGGGCACCCCATTGATCCCTATGGGCACACCATAGGGCCCCATTGGTCCCTAAAGGCACCCCATTGATCTCTATGGGCACACCATAGAGCCCCATTGATCCCTATGGGCACCCATTGATCCCTATGGGCACCCATTGCCCCATTGATCCCTATGGGCACCCCATTGATCCCTATGGGAACCCCATTGATCCCTATGGGAACCCCATTGATCCCTATGGGCACCCCATTGATCCCTATGGGCACCCTGTAGAGTGTCCCATTGATACTTATGGGCACCCTATAGAGCCCCATTGATCTCTATGGGTACCCCACTGATTCCTATGGGCACCCCATAGAAACCCATTGATCCCTATGAACACGCCCTAGAGCCCCACTGATCCCTATGGGCACCACATAGAGCCCCATTGATCTCTATGGGCACCCCATTGATCCCTATGGGTACCCCATACAGCCCCATTGATCCCTATAGACATCCTATAGAGCCCTATTGATCCCTATGGACATCCTATAGAGCCCCATTGAATCCCTATGGGCACCCCATAGAACCCCCTAGATGCCCCATTGATCCCTGAGGACACCCCATAGAGCCCCATTGACCCCTCTGCTTATCTATGGGGCCCATGACTTCCGCTGTGTCCACATCAGCTGAGCCCCATAGAACCCTATGAACACCCCATAGAGCCCCATAGAAACCCCACAGACCCCATACACCCCCCCCCCCATTGAACCCCATGGTCCCCTATGGGCCTTGCTGTGGGTCAGCACCACCTTGGAGGACCATGTCTGTGTTAATTGAGCCCTATGGCTGCCCCATAGCACCCATGGCTGCCCCATAGCGACCTATAGATGCCCCCCCCCCATATCCTACCCAATAAAGTGCTTGGATCCATTGACTCTGTGTGGTTGGGGGGAGAAAGGAACCATAGAGCTGGAGGACCTCAGTGCTAGAGCGTCTCAATGGGTACCATAGAGCTGGAGGACTCAGTGCTAGAGCGTCTCTATGGGCACCATAGAGCTGGAGGACCTCAGTGCTAGAGCGTCTCAATGGGCACCATAGAGCTGGAGGACCTCAGTGCTAGAGCGTCTCAATGGGCACCATAGAGCTGGAGGACCTCAGTGCTAGAGCGTCTCAATGGGCACCATAGAGCTGGAGGACTCAGTGCTAGAGCGTCTCTATGGGCACCATAGAGCTGGAGGACTGCAGCCCAGTGTTCCCAATGGGCACCATAGAGCTGGAGGACCTCAGTGCTAGAGTGTCTCAATGGGTACCATAGAGCTGGAGGACTCAGTGCTAGAGCGTCTCAATGGGCACCATAGAGCTGGAGGACCTCAGTGCTAGAGCGTCTCAATGGGCACCATAGAGCTGGAGGACCTCAGTGCTAGAGCGTCCCAATGGGTACCATAGAGTTGGAGGACCTCAGTGCTAGAGCGTCTCAATGGGTACCATAGAGCTGGAGGACCTCAGTGCTAGAGCGTCTCAATGGGTGCCATAGAGCTGGAGGACCTCAGTGCTAGAGCGTCTCAATGGGTACCATAGAGCTGGAGAACCTCAGTGCTAGAGCGTCTCAATGGGTGCCATAGAGCTGGAGGACCTCAGTGCTAGAGCGTCTCAATGGGCACCATAGAGCTGGAGGACCTCAGTGCTAGAGCGTCTCAATGGGGGCCATAGAGCTGGAGGACCTCAGTGCTAGAGCGTCTCAATGGGCACCATAGAGCTGGAGGACTGCAGCCCAGTGTTCCCAATGGGTACCATAGAGTTGGAGGACTCAGTGCTAGAGCGTCTCAATGGGTACCATAGAGCTGGAGGACTCAGTACTAGAGCGTTTCAATGGGTACCATAGAGCTGGAGGACCTCAGTGCTAGAGCGTCTCAATGGGCACCATAGAGCTGGAGGACCTCAGTGCTAGAGCGTGTCTATGGGTGCCATAGAGCTGGAGGACCTCAGTGCTAGAGCGTCTCTATGGGCACCATAGAGCTGGAGGACCTCAGTGCTAGAGCGTCTCTATGGGTACCATAGAGCTGGAGGACCTCAGTGCTAGAGCGTCTCTATGGGCACCATAGAGCTGGAGGACTTCAGTGCTAGAGCGTCTCAATGGGCACCATAGAGCTGGAGGACCTCAGTGCTAGAGCGTCTCAATGGGTACCATAGAGCTGGAGGACTGCAGCCCATTGTTCCCAATGGGTACCATAGAGCTGGAGGACCTCAGTGCTAGAGAGTCTCAATGGGCACCATAGAGCTGGAGGACTGCAGCCCATTGTTCTCAATGGGTACCATAGAGCTGGAGGACCTCCGCGCCAGAGCGGCTCTATGGTTACCATAGAGCTGGAGGACCGGAAGTCCCTCCTCCTTCCGCTCCGCCCCTTCCCATCAGCCCCCGCGGCGGCAGCGACGCGCGATGGAGCCTCCGGAAGGTACCAACATACGGGGGGGGGGGGGGGGGAGCAGGAGCGGGACCCCCACGTGACCCTCCCGGCCCCTCACGTGACCCATAACTGCCCCCCATTGCCCCCCATAGAGCCCTATGGGCCCCATTGACCCCAATACCCCCCCCATAGAGCCCTTTGAACCCCATAGGCTCCAATAGGCCACCATTGCCCCCCCATTGACCCCTATGGGCCCCGTTCGCCCCTCCCCATTGCCCCCATTGCCCCCATTGCCCCCATTGCCCCCATTGCCCCCTATTGACCCCCATTGCCCCCCATTGCCCCCATTGCCCCCCATTGACCCCCATTGCCCCCATTGCCCCCATTGCCCCCCAATTGCCCCCCATTGCCCCCATTGCCCCCATTGCCCCCATTGCCCCCATTGCCCCCATTGCCCCCCATTGCCCCCATTGCCCCCATTGCCCCCCATTGCCCCCATTGACCCCATTGCCCCCATTGACCCCCATTGCCCCCATTGACCCATTGACCCCCATTGCCCCCATTGCCCCCATTGCCCCCATTGACCCCCATTACCCCCATTGACCCCCATTGCCCCCCATTGCCCCCATTCCCATTACCCCCATTGCCCCCCATTGACCCCCATTGCCCCCATTACCCCCCATTACCCCCATTGACCCCCATTGACCCCCATTGCCCCCCGCAGCCCCCCCCCTGTGCCGGGAGCTCTGGGGTTCAATGGAGGCCGCTCGGTACCGGGGGGGGCCCGGGGGGGGGCTCCTGAGGCTCCGCCCCCCTGGGGCCCGATCCGGGGCTGGATTGGAGGAGGCGGTGAGGGTGAGGAATGGGGGGGGTGGGG